AAACTCGTAATTGTAGCCCTAAATCATTCAGGTTCTCTTGACAATCATTTCGTTGTGTTAGAAGGGCGGTACTCTGTCTTGAGTACCGCCCTCGGCCTACGGCTTCTGGGGTATCCAAGACCTCGGGCACAGTTTTTCTCAATACGGACCTCCCAGCTGGTGAATAGCATATATATAACTGAAAAGTATTATTGTATCGACTCTGAATTTTGATCTGGACGACGACGTCCCAACCCATCTTTAAGTAATGATATGGATCAGTTACATATGACAAAAAGTACAAAGGAGGAGACGACCAACAGTACCCCTTCAAAAGTTTTGCGAAAGTCAAATAAAACTGCAAAATGAGTTAAATGACTGCAGCTACACTCGGTTTCCACGGGGCTCCTTTTCGATACAACTTCGTGGCACCCTTTATCTGACCACCCATCAGATCTAGAAGAAAGAAGCATAATAACACGATGCATAAGGCCAAAACGCAATTAAAAAAAAAATTGTAATCCCTGCTTTCTTCAACTCTTACCTAAAAATCCCCCCCTTTCTGAGAATTGTTAAGAGAGAATGGAGTACAAAACACCAAAACACCAAAACACCCACTGATAATACCGTCCCTTTCCTCTCCATTCACAATGGTAGATTGAAGGTTGGCGATAATACACCCCACTGGTTATTCAAAACATCTTAGTTGTAGCCTTCTGTGGCAATGTAGTGAGTTTGGGATTTATAGCCTCCTAGAAGCTTGATATTATCCAGGATGGCAACAAGCATGCCCACAAAGTTCGCTGACCAGAATAGGACTAGAGTCATTCGTGTTTTATACTATACGTGGGACGAAGAAAGCTATTCTGGTGGCAGAGGTTATAATCAATATTTGCTTCACGAATGAAGAAGCGGGGGTCTTAAATACCAATGAACTCCAGGAAAACTCTGAATTCTTACGTATTCTCTCGAAATCCTCTCCAAAACACACAACTCCTGTTTGCATCAGTGACCTTAAAAAGACAATATGCTTTCAAATCAAAGAAAACATGAGCATAGCTGGTTATTGAGCTACGTGTATGGTTTTTTTTTTTTTACAGTAAATGTCAATTCTCAATTGAATTCTCAATAATTCATCTTTTTTCTAAATGATTATTTTTTCCTTACCTCTTGATTTGTAAACTTCATGATGACATTCCTTTTCAAGAGTCCCGGCTGGGGATCCATTACAACTGCCACGATAACACTGTTTAGTCGTCTATAACGACTCAAATACAAAGAATCTCGTTAATAGCTTGTGAATAATAATAATAATAATGAGTTTTTCATTATAATAATGATAACAACAATAATTATAATAATCGTCTCTGCTAATCGCCGTCGCAAAGTACAGCAACGACGCAGCTCAACAAGGTCGAACTGAAAGCTTACAATGGCGCCTCTGGCAGCCGCTATAGGTCCATGTGTGACCTTGAAGCACAGCTTACAGCCAGCTGGAATCAGCTGTGTGTTGGTTTTTGGTGAGAGAGGAATACCGAAGAGCCCGGGGAAAAGCCCTCGAAGCAGAGAAGAGAACCAAAACAAACTCAACCCACTTATGGCGTCGGATCCGGGAATCAAACCCAGGCCACATTGGCGGGAGGCGAGTGCTCCTACCACTACGCCATCCCTGCTCCCCCTAGTATTGTATACTATTATAGTTAATTACGATTGGATAAATTTTCGAGAACATCAAAATAACCTGCTACTCAAATCATTTCGTCCTATGAGGACCATGGTCACTCTTAATATCAGGATATCAATTTAAAGCTACCTACATATATTAAACAGTCACCCAATTTAAATGCATTTCATAAGAATTTGGAATCTATTAATCTTTTAAATTTAAGGACTACTTGTCTATGTAATTATTGCCAATCGTAAAGTGTTTTTAATGTTCATGTGACAAGAAAGGCCAAAGATCAGTTTTACGAAGCCCTGGAGGAAACAGTGTCCCAAATACCCCGCTCCGAGAGCGTATACCTGCTAGGCGACTTCAACGCACGCGTTGGATCCGACTGGCAAGCATGGCCCGCCTGTCTCGGCCATTTCAATGTTGGCAAGTTAAACGAGAATGGGCAGAGACTGTTGAAACTCTGCTGCCACCATGGCCTCTGCATCACCAACAGCTATTTCAAGTGCAAGGACTGCTCGGACGGTGTATACATTCGGATAAGGGCAGACGGCAAGCTCTTCAACATTGCCAGGCTCCGCGCCAAAACGAAGACCCTTGAGGTGCTCATCCGCGAGCTGCTGTTCGCAAATGATGCTGCCCTGGTATCTCTCAGCGAGGCAGGCCTCTAACGCTTGGTTGATAAGCTGTCGCACGCCTGCAAAGAGTTCGGCCTTACCCTCAGCCTAAAGAAGACCAACATCCTTGCCCAAGTTGCACTGACACCTCCCGTCATTACAATCGACAATACTGAACTGGAGGTGGTGGACTCTTTTATTTACCTAGGGTCCACAGTGTCAAACAAGACATCGCTAGACGTCGAGATCAGTTGAAGGATTGCCAAGGCAGTGGGAGTCATGGCCAAACTCAACAAAAGAGTGTGGAACAACGACCTGCTGAGCGAGAGGACCAAGCTGCAAGTCTACCAATCTTGTGTCCTTTCCACACTCCTCTATGGTAGCGAGTCATGGCTCACATACGCCAGACAAGAGAAGCGGCTCAACTGGTTCCACCTCCGCTGCCTTCGGCGTCTCCTCCAGATCAAATCCCAGGACAGAGTCCCCAACACCGAGGTCCTTGGGCGAGCCGACATGCCTAGCATCCCTACACTACTCATCCAAAGACGCCTACGGTGGCTAGGCCATGTACAACGAATGGACCCCGGTCGCTTGCCAAGACAAGTCCTTTATGGGAAACTGCGGGAGGGCGTCCAACGCACCAGCCGACCACTCCTTCGCTTCAAGGATGTTTGCAAGCGCGACCTGCAACTCACTGAAATCAACCCCAACACCTGGGAGATCCTTGCGCCAGACCGGAACGCCTGGCGTCGCGGTGTGAGGGATGGAGCTCACAGGGCTGAGATGAAGGCCAGGGCCGAGGCGACTATGAAGAGGGGACGAGAAAGAAACGTCAAGGATCAGTTCAAGAGGCCACCAACTACATCTGTACCAGCTGCAACAAAGATTGCCACTCAAGAATCGGGCTTTTGAGCCACTCAAAAGCCTGCCAACACTGATGCGCTGACCATCGCCTCTCCGAGACGAGGATGCCATAAAAGAAAGTTGACGTAAAGCTTCGTACAAAACTTTACGCAGATTTACGCAACAGGTAAGTCTCCACAAATCTCGATTTTCAAGCTGTGTGAATGCTGGGCCTATTGACGGTTGATGGTGGTTGAACCAAAATGAGACCCACATGACAGCACCAAAACATTACCAAAACAAATTCAAGGAGGTCGATCAAACTCATAATCATTATTCAATTAGTATTTTTTGTCAAAACTGACCGACTGATGACTTTCCGCCATTAACCAACTGCTCATGAGAAGCTTTTAAATTCCGAAGTAACGAGTTATGTAGGATAATAGAAACTGATATCAATTCAAAATGATACCAAAAAGAGACTCTGAACAATTTGAAAATTGAAAGAGACCTTAACTTCACTAGTATCAATATGCTTACAAAGGTCTAATTCAGTTATGAAATTAGGCCTCTGACGAAACATTTGGATTTATGTTAGATTGACTTGTTTTCATGAAGCTCAACGAAGATATCAAGAAAATATCACAAGAGGTTAATCAGTACAAGGGCAAAGCGAGTGAACCAAATGGTGATTAACAGCTAACAACATGTACCGACGCCAACTTTACCTGTCCTCTCACAGTCTTCGTCAACAACAGGCGCTCTACAAAGATGAATTGTACGTGCACGTGTAACGTAAGCTAGGCATTTTATGACTAAGTATAGGATACGATTCTTACCTTTTTTAGGTTTTTATAGCCGTACTTAGCTTTACGATCGGTAGATACCATACGAGATATCGAGACAATGTAAAACGTTACGAGCTTGTCTAAAATCAAGTAATTCATCGAAACAAAAGCAAGCAGTTATCAAGAAGGCCTCGATTAAATGTTCCTTGGTAAATAGCCTCAAGTGCAAGTGACACTTCTCGAAATTTTCGAGATTTATGGATTATTTTTCTTCACAGATTGGTTGACGCCTTTGGTATGTCGCCTTGACAAGACTTAATTGTGTCACTGCAATAACGAAAATAGTGCAGGCATTTACAACTTCACTGAATTTTAAATTAAAATGTTAATGGAAATGAATTAAAGGCACTCAGGCACTCATCGGAAAATGACATGTTGTCTAGATGAAGGCTTAGGACCCATTTCATTGTGTATGTGGCTCGAACCGTCTTTTAAAATCAGCTATCATGATTTTTCAATTGCAATTTTCCGAAGCATCGCCCACACAGAAAATCTGTTCTCATTAGACTTATTGACAGGAAGAAATTTATATCAGTTAGCAGTACAATAAAAATGTTCTTTACAGATCCTGCAATACATTACAACCGTGTTCTTCTCCAGCTTCCACCACCTCCATGGATATCATGACACTCGATTATTTCTTTCTGAGATTCCCTTCATAAACCCACCAATAAGTTTAAGGACTATTCGGATCAGGTACGGAACGCTGTTTTGCACGATAAAATGAAATAATTGCTACCATAAATAACAGACGGTATAGGATTATTTAGTTATTTTTTAGCTCCCTAAAACTAATTCACGAGTCGTGTTAAACGATAGTTATAGTTTGCAAAATAAAGGCTTAAACTTAAATCCTTATTTTTTTTCGCCCAACTTTGCTTCTTATTTTTTGATTTCCATAAAATGAAATGCATTACTTAGTTTAAATGACGAACGTCGTTTTTAAGCGGATGAGATCATACATATAGGTGTATTTACCAGGTGACATTTGTCACAGTAGCCTCAGAAGGTTATTAACTAGGCTAATGTGTTTTTGCATATTACTTCTGAAAGGGGCTGCGTCTAACGTCAATACGACACAGCAATAATGAATGAAAACGAGCACTTCCATTTTAAAATCGCATAATTATTTCATTGAGGCAAAATGTTTTGAATCGTTTTGCTTCTTATCGAAGCCAAACAGTTCCAAGGTAAAACAAGAGTATATTTCTATGTGGTTATTTATTTTTCTTACTGTGTTAATATTTTCGTTTTCCTTTTGCAACAAACTCAAGGGCAGACGTTTACCGAGTTTGATTTTTTTTTTGTAATGAGAGAACCTGGTAAAAGCCAACAATAATATTTTCTTTTCGGCTTGATTTTACAAGGTTAGAGAATGTTCCAGAGCCAAAATAAGTCTGTCCAACCATTCGCTACATGCTTTATATTTCTAAAGCAACCAAAAAAATTAGTAAAGCTTGTGTTTACTCAGCGCATATTGACGTATTGACAGGGCTGTGAACATTTTACCAGATCTAGGCCCCTGTGAATTTCCATGGTGTTGGCCGTCAACCTTTTAAGGGTTGGAAAACTAAGGACCGCTACTTTCTTTGACGAATTTTTTGAAGAGAAATTGAAAAGACTAAAATGAGGATTACCCTCAAGGTCATGGGAGGGAACGGGAAATAATCTGCAATACATAAACATCTGCTTCGTGGGCAGTGCCCGTTTAATTTCTTCAGTGTTACGCCAGTTTGAATTCAAGGCGATACAAACAATTTTATATGCAAAGGGTTCTATGTGCATGTACCTCGGGGACACATATAATTTGTTTAAAGAAATTAAATGTATCAATAGATAATATAATTTCATCCTTTGTTTTAAGTTCTTTATTACTACATCTATTCGTCCGTTTATTTATCCATTTATTTATTACCATTTGCTAAACTGTTACAATTACAAAAGCAGGATAGTAGTTGCTAGTTGACAAATATTGTTATGTTGCTTTATGTATACTCAAAATGTAGAAGTAAGATGACGTCTTTATATAAAATGCATCAAATTGCGTTTAAAACTATTTACAAATGTCTTTATGATTGCATGATAGGTTTCTTAACTTTCTAAGTATTCTTCGAAGCCAATTATAAACAAAACACCGAAACAATTGTGTGAAGGACTGATTACCTTCAAATATTATGCCCAGGTCGTAATTCAGCTACCTAAAAGACACCTTTTTTTCTCAAAAAGTTTGGTTTTCAAGTAGAAAATATTATCTCAAATACGTTCAATTGTCTTAAAGCTATTTACTTTTAATGTAAAGAAAAGTTTGCAATCGCGAAAAAGTTTAAAAAATTCGAAATGCTAGTCTTTGGAAAGCTGCCCTGCTTTCTTTGAATTTCACTTCTTGTATTAAATATCAGCCGTTACTGACACCTTTTACACGACTTAGTTTATTCACCCAACGATGCGACTGCCTAACTTTACCGACATATCATAGGTGTTCAATTACTACTGACAAACTACTTAGTCCTGAATGATACAACCGAGCCATCTACTTTCAATAAATCCGCAGCCTATGAGATGCAGCTACTTAAGCCGAGTGTCTCGACTCAAATTAGTTATATGAATGCAGTTCAACTGCCCGCACATAAATTAGATTAACCTGCGACTTCTTCCTTGTGGATTTTCCATGATTGCTTGCAGATTGGAAAAAAGTGTTCACTTTTCTTTTGAATCGCTCTCTAATCTGCAGATAGACAAGTAAAGCTAAAGTAAGAAAAAAAAAAGAAATTCAAATTCACATTTTATCTTTGAAATCCTCATTATCTATACCGTGTGTATAACTTCAAATTAAACTTACCTGGCTGTCTCGCACACAGTGCAGGAGAAAAATTAGAAAACCCTGATATAAAGAAAAATGCTTTTCAAATCAATATAAAGAAGATGTTTGAAAGATATGTGAATTTTTTTTTTTAAAATTTCTTAAAGTGCTTTAGAAAAAATTTTTTCTTTAGTTGTGATTAAATACTCACCTGAGTAGAGTTGAGAATGGTAAAAGTGTAGGTGAAAGCTTTGTGTAAGGGCGACAGAAGACCAAATAACCATGTGACACCCAGAAGGGGAACCATCACCACGCTTGCTTTAATTCCAAGTCTTAGGGACGACAACAAACTAAGATATGTAGGTTAACCGATTGTATATTTACTGTTTTTACAAGCATTTTTAAAGACGAGTAAACCGTAGGTCTCGTCTCCTGCATCTATGAATTAATTAATTTGGTTAGGCAGGGGACGTTAAAGAACCCACTCACGAGATTACTGTGATGCGGTCTGGCCTGTTTACTGAGAATTTTGGATTAGGTGCCAATTGGGACGAAAGTTCTGTTCCTTTCTTCTGCCATTCGCGTGGCGAATAACTTAAATTAAAAAGTAAAATTAAATTAAATAAAAAAAAATTAAATTAGAAACTGTCTTTCTTTCTATTTTGAGGATCTATCTCACCGTATTTTCCGGCTTTGCTTGTCTCCCGTTGACTGCATTGAGGTCATCTCCCTTATCACCCGTGTGAGTATCAAAATGTTGCTCTTACGGAGAAGGAAATAAATATGAAGTCTCTATTGAGGTATGGTTGCCGCATACACCAAGTCTTAGATTAAAATCCCAAACAATGATTCGAAATAACATGAATACCCCAAATTCGAAACTTACAACTGCGATTGTGCCAACAAATGTGACAAACATCCAGATCAAACCGTTAGATGAGGACATCCAACAACTAAATAGGAGAGAAAAGCCAAAATATAATTAAAAAAAGAAATGGTTGGCAAAATAGCTTTATCAAAATGAAAAGGGAGTAACTACGCCTCTTACTATTCATCACTGGTATAGCTCTCTATCCCATCTTTCCAAGCGGCGATGCTCAGTGAAATGGCCACCACAACCAATGGCAGACCTATGGTAATATTTCATCACAAATGCAATAAATGAAGTTACTTACAAAGAAAGAATAACTGTCGCAACATTAAATCTCAGGTAAAATTTTGGAAACAAAATACCCCATGAGATGACGTGATACATATGCATCTTGACCCTGATGTTGTAAACTTTCACAACAAGCAGGTAGAGGTAAATTCCCTCAGCCAGCATCCAACAGAAAGCGGCCATCATGAAATACTGCATCAGGACTGCCATTGTGGCACACAAAGCCTGTAAAAGAAAGCGGAAGGGATGAGCAAGAGACTATCTTTTTCCTTTTTTATGTTTCGATCGAGAAGGATGTCTTCCAATTGATTAAACGAGTTTACTTACCATGCTTTCTGAGGCCTTTATTCCAGCGAGAAATACAATTTGTCCAGTCCCGAGGGCCAGAGCAAGACTTATACGCATTTGAGACAGAGGTTTTTTAATATCTCTGGCGAATTTAAAACATATTCACAAAAAAGGCATGGAAGAAAGTATTAGAAATCAAGAAGAATGCTAGGTAAGAGCAAACATCAAATAAATAATAATAAATAAATAATAATAAATCAATAATAATAAATAAATCAATAACAAATAAATGAAAAAGGAGCTATGTAAAGTATAAGTCGAGGGCCGGAAGAAAATGACCAGACACAAAAAAGACAACGTGCGATGTAGAATGAATCATTAATTATTTCATGTACGGAGTGTACTTAATTGCAAGCACATTGGAAAATACATGGTCAACGATTTATTCAATAAAGTCTGTTTTTTAAGCTTTCCGTAGTGATTTAAAGTGCCTGAACCCACACGAATCCGAACAATCTCTAACAGCTTGTACGCTCACGTATTGGATATCCAATTACCACCAAGGCAATTCAGTCGCAGTAGCAAAGTGTGCCTTGATCTATTCTTTGCAAAGAATGGCTTGTTTCGTGTCACACTTTCACTAAGTCATGAGCGAATATGCAACGCTCATTTTTCAGAAACAGTACTTACGTGAGAGAAAAATACAGAGCTATTGTCAAAAGCATTCCGAGGATGGAGAGGCTTAATCCTACATAAGTGATGATCTCTAGGATAGTAATATCCTTCGTGGAGAGCTGTCGCAAAAGTTAGAAAAAAAAAAAAAAACAACCATTTAAATGACCCATCGCATTTCTTTTTGAAAGTATGTTATATGAATAAGAATATAATGATAAAACGAATACCTCCGTGCCACTGCTGAAGTCCACTAAGACAGCAAAGTGAGTCAGATGATTGCAGCTACAAACTGTTTCTTCTGAGTTGCTCTCCGTTTGAACTACACGACAACCGTCCCCAGAGAATCCGTCTGGACTGAAAAAAGAAGGTACGTAGATATCAAATATAAGAGTAATGGTGTTAAATGAATAACTGGGTATTCAAACATCATTCCGAGTGTAGATTGCTTTCGTTTTGGTATTTCACAGAAAAAAGTATTCACAATTTCCTAGTAAAAATAACCCATGAAAAAGTACGTTTTGGAGAGATTTTGGCGAGCTATCATCAAAACTACTCTGAGGAAAAAAAAGACAGATTAATTACTTAGTTTTTCTAACAGCAACAAAAAAACATGTGCCCCTTGAACCAGAAACTAACACAGTGATAGTAAACAACGGCCATTGCGAAAGTTATCTGATCATTAGATAAAAAAAAAAAAAAAAAAAAAAAAAACTATCGGTTGAATCAGTTTGTCCTGTTCGAGAGAAATGATCGGTCAGACTTCACTTTTCCTTGTCAAAACGTCATAACCATCACGGACAATGTTATCTGACATTCAGGACTATCCACTCATGTTCCTTTATAGAAATTGCATTTGGACGAAAGCAAAACATATGGTTCTAAAGCCTACTTAGCAATGATTATTATTTTTACCTCTTGTTGAAGCCACTCCAAAACATGCAGCGCTCTTTTTCATCGACATCCTGTAAATAGAGCTCATGTCGTTTGAATTCGAAGGCACAACTTATATTTCAATATTCTAGCTGTTACCTTCAGGTTTCTGAACTTTAAAATGACATCCTGTTGTAATTTTTCCAGTTTAGGATCCAAAGCTACGCTCATTATCCTGGAGTTCAAATACCTGTAAGTAGAATTTGTTCTTAAAATCACCCAGATTATCTTCAAGGTAAAAGTGGTCCGATAAGCTATCATCCTTTGTAGATCACTGAATTTCAATTAGCCCAATTTAAGGAAAATATGCTGAAACAATTCTCCATTATGAATGTGAAAGAGTAGAAATAAAAATCTGCCGATTTGGGCTTGTCAAGATTTAAAAAAGTAACCATGCCGTTTGAAACTGTTTTCAAATGTATAGAGAATATTGACTAAGGGCACCGCCATTTTGGCGAATAACATCATAAAAGTCGAGCGATGCAAGAAACTGAATTTGGTATGGATTTTAGAATGGCTTTGTCATTTTCATTTTTTTTTTCCCATTTTCTGTGGGAATGAGATGACGGCAGGATATCACGGCTAGATGTAAAAACTCTGAATTCACAAAAGCTTCCCCTCTTCCGAGTAACTCAAATTGCTATGGCAACATAATGGTACATAATGTTCTACAAACAGGCTAAGCATTAAGCAGGTCTCAGAGATTTCATCTGTGTGAGCGTCACCTTGAGTAGTGTTTTTCATCTCCGATGGATTTATTTCGCAGTAGTAAATCATGGAGACCCTTGTATACGCACACTGCAATCACTGACCCTAAGAATCAAACAAACCAAAAACCGAAAAATACAAAAAAAATGTGGAAATACTTTTGCATAGACCAAAGTAAAATGCTATTATTTAGACTGAAAAAAAATTTATAATACAGACCATTCTGAGCAAAATTTGCAGAGGAAATATTAATGCTGGCTTGCCATTCTTCTTCATTGAAGAAGAGATCACTGCAACTTTCCCGGTAGCCTTTTTGAATGACCAAAACTGCCGAAAGAAGGAGACGATTAGATGGCAGATTATGACTGGAATTCTGAGAGGACATTAACATGTGTGGGTGCCTTTTTTTTTCTTTGTACATGTCGTGTGTGGCTACACTACGTACGATTCATTAAACGCAATTTTGGTTTATTTGACATTATTGAAATTATGTAATCATGTAAATAATGACGTCCTTGTGTTCATAAACTCATTCAAAAATACCTCTGACATTAATTTCTAGAAATAAACATTTTAAATTAATTTTTTTTTTTTACTTGAAAGAAAGGCAGAAAATAGTTATTGTAAAGAATATGGAGGATGGTAAGTTTTGAGTTCGGTAAAGAAATATAGAAAGACGTTTTTCGTCTAATCACAAGCATAAGACAAAGAAAGAATTTTGAGTCCTTATGAGGATTAGAGGTTCGATTCCCCATGGAGACTTAAAATTTTTTCCCTCGTGACTAGACAAAAAACATCTTTATAAAATTGTTATTACCTCGAAATGCATCAAACAGCGTTAACTGAAGAAAATTTTTGACGGAGTTAGTACCTTATTTTTATCCCTTTGACTCCCACTTTATTTCCTTCCCTTGATAAAGTCAAAGTGTAAGGCAGGTAATAGGAGAATTTAATTCGTAGAGTGCTACTCCGAATGCCGTTTAAAAGATCAAGTGCATATTTTACTTCTCTAAGCTAGACAGTAGATAGACCATAGTCAGTGGGTCATCAGTTGGTCATCAATTCGATAAGAAATCATCAACTATGTAACACGAGGACGTATTTTTAACTCACCCATATTTTCGCTCGTGATGTTCGTGGAAGGCTTCGTCCCATCCAGATAGTATTTACCATATTTAAGGACAAAATTTTCGAAGGCGCTTGCCACCGCAAATATTGATTTTCTCTTTATTTTATCTTCCATTATACCAATTTTTCCTTTAAGGGATTTTGTGATGTTTAGATACTGATCGGTGAAGTCTTCAAACACACGCACAGCCTCCTGTAACAAAAAATTACACTTTTCATTCATGTCACTTTGAAATGAAGAACTTTACCATAATGTCAATGAGATGATGTCAGTAATGATGATGTAGTGAGGAAAACTGTGTAAAAGAAAAAAGGTGATTCTAGTTTTGTAACGCTGAGACTTGAGCCTCGCTTGCACTCTCTTGAAATAGATCATTAACGCGCTGGCTCTATACTTGGAATTTCCTCCTTACTTCGAACAATTTTGAAGCTTAAAATGACTGTTGCTAGCATTGGCCATCTCTTTTATCGTTGCGCAAGTCATAGCCACTTAGTTTCTTTATCATATGATCGATGGTAAATTGGAAATTCCATACCTTCAAAGAAGTGTTTCTTCTGATTTCAATACCTGTAAGTTTGGCAACTGAATCATTTGCCTGTGGTCAAGAAAGACAACGTCGATGAATAGCGAAGGCTATGAGAATTAGAGTCCAAGAAAAACGAAAAATCACGTACCACTTTCTTCAGTGCTTCTGTTGTCGATAACCGAGATGTCTCAGTAGGTGATGGCCATGACGATGACAAAGACGACGATGGTGATGGCGAGGATGATAATAGTACTGCTCTCGATGATGAAGATAATGATAGTGATAATGATGATGATAATGGCGATGGTTCTGATGAAGATACTGATGTTTCAGCTGGTGTTAATGATACTGTTAATGAAGATGGTGCGAATAATGAAGATGCTAATGCCTCAGCAGGTGATAATGATGCTGATGACGAAGATGGTGATGAAGATGATGGTGCTGATAAAGAAGCTGATGCTACGGCTGGTGATACTCCTGCTGATGATGAGGATGATGATGGTAACGGTGATGGTGATGGTGAGATTAATGATAACGGTGATTGTGACAATGATTGTAACAGAGCTGAATGAGAAATAAAAAATAATTTTCAAAAGAAATCCGTCAGTAAATTTTGAAAGCTATGATGAAACGCAGCTAGTTTGGAAAACAAAAATTGATAAAGTACTACTTTATTTCAAGAATACCAAACACTTATTCATAAAGCCAAAAGAGGGTGTTTTTAGTACTTGCTATGTTTATTGTACTCACTGTAAGTTTGGGAATGTTCTATTCCCTGAATCGTTGAAATTTGAGTTGCGAAAACATGAGTTGTTGTAGCTGTGATAGATAAAACGGCATTCGAAGAGTATAGATCTGAAATGGTGCAGTAGTCACCAAAATATTTGCTGCACGAGCACCTGCTACTGCTCTCTCCATCACATTCAGTAGAAGTAATACTATTCTCGACGGTCCAAGTGTCAGAAGGTGGCATGAGACTTCCACAACATTTACCATTCCCAGAGCATATCAACCTATCTTTAGAACAGATTGGCCAAGTTCTAGTCATGAGACATGTTCTAGCATTGCACTCCTGTTTACAAGAACTAGCAATACAGTGCATCGCGCATTCACCCACTTGATCTTCGCATTTCTGTTCTTTACACCCGTCTCCGCTACATGTCATGTTACATTTACTTGTAGCGTTGCAAGTTTGTTTAAAATCACCTCTGCTACATCCCAAGTACATTTTGCATTCATCAACTTGATCTCCGCATTTCTGTTTTTTACAACTGTCTCTGCCACATTCCATACCACATCTTTCTGTAGGCTTGCAAGTTTGTCCGTTATCCTTCGTTTCATTTCCCACATCCATTTTGCATGTATAGTTGCAAATCTGTTCACTTCTTGTTGTGTTGTACTCCTTTTCACACTTTGTGCAATTGTCACATTGCAATAGATCTCCGGTTTGCTTGCAGATATCGTTACCCAGCCCTAGGCCTAAAGAAATCAAATACACGAAATCACACGGGAAATGATGCAATTACTTGTTTAAAATGATTTACATCAAAAAGGCATAACAGAAACTCAATACAGATGAGAATTAAAGAGCGCGCGCACTATTTGTAATTTGCACTTGTGTTACAGGTTTTCACTCGTATTAAAATTTTGCACTCGTGTAACATGGAAAATACTTTCGTTTTCAGCCTATCAGAGGTGTGCGAGTGTCCCATGCGTATTGTTAAGACATTTAAGAATAAAACGTCTTTAGTTATTTAATAATAAAATCTCTCTTAAAATGTCATTATGCCCAGAGATACATCCACTTTCCAGGAACTCTTTTCTAGCTTGCCTAAGATTAAAGCATCAACTACTTTTGAAGCATGTGTGGTAAGAAATAGATGCATATTACTGTATCCCGGGGTATTTAGAGTCATCATAACAGTATTGACTTGCCAGCTATCGTTTATTCAAGTGAATACAATAGAAATATCAATCGATAATGATTTGAATACTTAAGATACAAATACGAATTGGAAACGAAATAGGGACTATACGCCGGATTCTGTAAAAAGAAGACTTAAGAGAGGCCGCCAGAATATTTCGAGAATCGAAAATCAGTGACCAAAACTCGAATTTTTTTTTTTATTTTACCAAAACATCCCTTTCTGTGAACTAGTTTCGAAAAAAATATTATAAAGTTCCAGCGATTTTTTTTCGCCTGAAATTTAAAAAAGTTTGAAAACTCGCCAAAATAGCAGTTCTCGCCTTGCCTAAACGGTCAAATCGTCACGCAACTGTAGAAAGATGTTGGTAGCGATAAACAAGTTCATTCACCATAAAACTTTGCTCAGTAATTACAATACAACTGCACAATAAAATCATATAAAAAGTCTCTGGTAATTCGCTTTGGTATGGGTTTTATCGCCGTTTTTATAAAGGTGTACTTTGCACGTCTTTTTGGGAGACATTTTGAAGGCTAACTTTGACCGGTTTAAACGACACCTGGTGCCAAAAATTTCGACATTAAAACCATATCAGAAGAGAGCTCAATTATCAAACTATACACCTGGAAAGTTTGGCCGTTGGAAATTAAGTCTTGTCTTGGTAGTTAAATAAAACGTGATGCCACCCAAGCGCCATGTGCAGAATTCGATGTTCATCTCAAGCTAATTATAGAGTCAGTTTGTCGAAAGTACACAGAAAAAATTAAATGACCATTAAACCGCGTCAGCATCATTATGTTTCTTCTGTGAAGCTGTGAATGCAAAGCAAAGTAGTTTTTAATCTTTTAATCTTTCTTAATCACGTTTTAAGTGCCAGCGTGTCTCTTAACACATGTTAACACGGCTGATGCAATTTACAAACTTCAGAACACTTCGAAAACAACACAGTGTTGGCTAAAACGTCGCTACTTACACTTAAATTAATGATGTGTTGACTTGCTTCTTATCAAATATACACAGAAATCTTCGTGCTTAAAGGAATAAAAAGAAAGCTATTTGGATCATTCACAGCACTCATGGTATAGACAACGTATGCAATGTATCAAGTTTATTGACCTGTGCGTGACCTAAGCCGTGACGCTTAACATGTTCAGGTAAACAAAGAATCGCATCAAATTCTTTTATTTCTGCTTTAAAAACCTTGGATGAAAGAACAATATAAAAATCCTTCGAGGAAACTATCATCACATTTTTTAAAGAACTTTCCGATAATTATTTGTGTGAAAATCTATCGTCGCGCGTAAATGGCCTTCTTGAAGGGCAGGGATTCACCCATGAAATCCAGTCGTGCAGTGAAGGAAGTCCTGAAGCTGTGGCTATCATCCAGGATGTTCTGAAGACCCTAAAGCTGAACACGGGGAAGTAACGAAGGCATATTTCAGGCAAGACAACGCCGGTTGCTATCATTCATCATGTACGATCCTAGCGTATCCAGCCATTGCAGAATCTACTGGTGTCCAGGTTATAGGAATTGACTCTTCTGACCCGCAGGGAGGTAAAGGTGCCGCAGATAGACTTGCGGCAATATGTAAAGGCCACGTAAGTGTCTACATAAACCATGGCAACGACAGGAAGTCAGTTACAAGAAGCCCTTCTTTCCCACGGAGGCATCGAAGGAGTGAGAGTAGCTGCAATTGACAGCATGGAGGATTTCGTCATTGAGGAGGCAAGGAAGATTCCCGGTATCGGCAAGCTCAACAATTGTAAGTTCAACCCCGAAAGCATTATAGCTTAGCGTGCCTATGGAATCGGGAGTGGGAGAGATATCGGATTAGAGAAGCAATCTTCCGGTAAGTGCTAGGGAGCTACATACAGTGTTGACAAGTAGCATATTTTTGATATGTTGCAATCTCCTTTGCCACCCGTCCGCGCGCAAGTCCCCCGTCCATACTCGACCACACCCGTGTTCGTGGATGTGTCCACCCGACCGTCTGACAGTGCATCCATCGATTCTTCTTTCTCTTGTCGAGCATGTGTTTGTTAATTGATCGCTTCCTTCCCGCTTACAGTTTCTCCTATTTTTCCTGTCGGTCAGATCCGTTAGCCAGTCTCACTTTAGTCAATTTCAATTAACATAGCAATATTTATTTTATATGCATGGTCTTTGTCGTACCGAATTTTCTTTGCAAAATCGCATAAAAAAATTACCACAATTTAACAACGTCTTCTTTATGGAATCTTTTGATGATCACAACACCATTCTATTTTCAGAGTGTAGTTATTCGCTGGATGGGGTCAACATTTTCCACAGGTGATTTTAAATCGCTCAGCAAAAAGCAGCCCACGCAGACGGAGTCGGAGACTAGAGAGAAACCTGAAGTCTCTAAGACGCATGAAGGGATTGCTGGTGATGAAACAGCAGCATTTGCGTACCCTCAAGACGGGTGCGTGAGAGTTTTTCAAAGGCATTCTGCCTTAAAGAAACACCTGTCCTCAGACAAATGCACAAAGTCTTTAGAGAAGAGATCTTTGCTAGACCTGGCCAAGATCGCATATAAATCTCCATTGGAAGGTGTGGGAACTATACCAACTCTGCAACCAGTTCCAGGAAGTGAACGTCGAACTGATTGCTGTAATAAGGAAAACTGGGCTCTTAAGTCAACCAAAGAGGCCTAAAGGCTTAGTGAGAGGCAAAAGGCATACCTTGATGCCAAATTCAATATTGACCAAACGTCAGGTAGAAAATTAGAAAGGAAAGTTGATGCAAGAGTAATGAGACGTGCCCAAGGACCTGACGGTGCTCGAATTTTCAACGTTGCAGAGTCCTGAGCCCACAGCAGATCTCTTCCTACTTCTCCCGCCTTGCTGCCAAGGTTCGGAAACAACTACCGGATGATTGCGATGTTCAGGCCAGCGAAGAGGAAATCAACTTAGCGATGGCAAGGAATTTGGCCCTAGAAACTATCTCTCTTCAGCACCCAATAGTGTTCGATCAGTTCGATATATGTACCATAGTGAAGGACGACACGTTGAAGAAACTAAAGCTTGGCATGCTGCAGAGTATTTGCCAGACTTGGAGCTGAATGTTCCTGTACCTGCCATTCGGCGAAAAGCACAATACCTTGCCTTGCTTGGTGAAGCTATTTCCCCGTGCACATGCCAGATCCGCCAGTAACCGATCTTAATCAGTTCTGATCAGTTATCTCGTTTGCTTGTTTTTAATACCTAGGGCTGTAATGGCTGAACAGATCGCCTAATCGATAATATTTGTAGTCACGGCGCCTCACCTTCGTTTACAAATTCACGCCTTTTGTACATTGTTTTCCGTTTTCAGTTGTTCCGTGTATATTTGTTACTTTATTAGGTTCGCNACAAAAAAAAAAAAAACATAAAATATACGTAAGAGATAAGATTTAAAAAGACACGCAGCCAATGGAGTAAATGGATAACTTAATATAACTCTAAAAAAAAGCGAGCAATGGACAAAAAGAACACAATCGCGCGATTTTAAAATTTTGTCCTTTAACTGTTCTAATGGTCCTTTTATTATTGGGGTGAGATTTAGTTCTCAGTAGACGTGTTTGAGACCAGTGTCCCCTCGCTTAGGTTATTCTACTGCGATTATTACATGTTAGTTGACTTAACCCTCCCGGGAGGTGGAAAAATGGCCGCGTTGAAACAGCGTCACGATCGACTGGTAAGCAGCGAGCTGAAATAATTATTGAACCGTCACACGCATGTAAGATACACTTTGTGCGTTACCAGGAAGTTTCTCCCGCATTGAATGCGTTACATGAGTATCTACATATGTAGAACTCAAATACATATTGTGATTTCGCAGTAGTTTCATGCTCCCTCTTTGGAATTCGAAGATTTTTTATTGACAGTTGTAATAAGATGTTAAGTGTAAAAGGTCACAATAGAGTCGAGCTACTTCTTGTAAAGAGTACGCATGCTGTTGTATCGAGAGAAAATGATTTACCGTGACATTTACACAAATATCATTGATAAATTTGATGTAATCTCATGGCTATCTAAGCTCTACATGTTGCACGGCGTCGACCAAGGCCACATATTTTGTTACACTAAAACGGGTATTTACTTGCTTTTACAGTGCCGTAAGGTGCTAGTCATTTGGAAGTTCGGTTATGTTTAAGTTTGCTTTACTAAAACTGTATTTTGACAGCTGTTAAATTTGACCACTTGCGGCCCATCTCTAATTGCTTTTCCCAGGGAAATTCTCAGTCGTGTTTCCAGTGCACTTTCCCTTGCGATTTTCAGTGTGGCACCAAAGATTTTTAATAAGAGTTTGAAGAAGTGAGCAGAAAGCTGAAAAAGGCTTAACCTAAGTGGTCAGATTTATTGGTTACCCAATTTGAGTCAGGGGTTAGGTCACGTACGCAAAATGGTCACGCGAAGGATGAACTTACGAGGATCTTCAACTGTTTTCTACCTTTTTGGTAGTTATATATGTCACCAAACCTAACATACTTCTCTTTTACTAAGTTTAAGTTTTAAGAATACGTTGAAATATAGTTTTGGATATGAAGTATTAACTCAACAGATCATTTCTTCAAGTATAAGAAGTTTTCAAGTATAAGTTCTGGAATGTTTCGGAATATATTTAAGTTTGTAAACCGCTTCAGTCGCGTTAAGAGACATACTGGCACTTAAAGCGTGATTAAGAAAGATTAAAAGCGACTTTACTTAAC